TTTTTCCTTTTTTAAAATTGGGAATGCAGATCATCTTTGGTCTTTTGTAAATTCATCCTATTTCCCAGAAATTATTTGTTTTCATAAATAGCTACAGGATGTATTTTAATGTTCCAAAAGTTAATCTACTTTCCTGATGTTTAGACCCAACTTCATGAATTAAGTTTTGGGTGGTGGGTTCATCTACCCTCTAGTTGGGACCGTTTCAGCTTCAAGCGACAGAGTCTACTCATCTAGTTAAAGCGTTGAATGGGACTCATTTGTTCTGGTAACCTGGAAGAAGCAGGGGTAGTCGAGGTATGACTGGGTTTGGGCATTCTCTCTTGATGGCTCAGCCCTTTTATCTCCATGTTGGGTGCGTTCACCCCCATTACAGGGAGGGGACTATATGTAGAGGTAGGATATGTATCTGCAGCAGAGGTGAGGCTGCAGATTGGGTACTGCTCCTCACCTCACTTGCCTATGTTTTTGTGTAACTAGTTTATAAACACGATGGGTCTTGATGTATTTCTTCATTCTGGGATTACAGATCTATGCATTCAAGCAGTGGGACGAAAAGAACCACTCAGTCTGGGAGCACTTCTCCCACCTGTAATCCTAACATTTTGGGAGGCTGAGGTGGATTGTTTGAGCTCAGGTGTTCCAGACCAGCCTGGCAAGAGTGAGACCCCATTTCTACTAAAAATAGAAAAATTAGGTGGGCCTTGTGGCAGGTGCCTATAGTCCCAGCTACTCAGGAGGCTGAGGCAGGAGAATCGCTTAAGCCCAAGAGTTTGAGATTGCTATGAGCTATGAAGATGCCCAGGGTGACACAGTGAGACTCTGTCTCAAAAAAAGAAAAATCATCTCAGGCATGTTGCAGTAACCCATGTTGCTGGATTCAAATGGTTAGCCAAAGGATTTGAACCAGACCCAGGATGTGAGTGCTACTTTCAAAAAGATTTTCTCCAAACCAAGGACTAACAAGCTGAACCTTATCTTTTTTTTATTTTTCTACATTTGTCAACACGTCAAAAAGAACCTTTATTACTTTCATTATAGCCTCTTATGCTTTCTTTCCGGATGCCTTTGGAGCAGGTGCTTTCTGGGCTGGAGCCTTTTGACCCTTCTGAGCTTCTGGCCTGTGGCTTTCTGGGCAGGAACCCTCTGGGCTGCAGCCTTCTTGCCTGCAGTGGTCATCTTTTTTGCTGGAACTTTAGCAGCAGCCGCTGCAACAGCAGCAGCACCCTTAGCAGGTGCTTTTTTGGGAGAAGCTATCAGAAGAGCTGCTTTTTGAAGCTTCATCACTTCATTCTTGATTATCCTGTTCCTCATTTTCTTTGCCTTCATAACTTTAAAACGATCAAAATCTGTGATCTTAGCTTTCCTTTCTCTGGCTTCCATTTTCTTGGCCCATCTTGTGGCTGCCCATTTTGTATTTGTATCTGCCTTCTGCCAGGCTTGTCGGACGTACTTCTGGCGGGCACTGTGTGGGAACTTGAGGATGAAGTCAGTGAGTTGCATGCATTTGAAAGGCATGTCCTATCTTCTTACCTGAGTGCAGGATCCATCAACCAAAGTCCTGTTTTTGATCAATAACATCTATAATCACTACAAGCTTTCTGGCACGAGGCCCAAAGGAGACGTAGGCCACTAGGCCAACCTCCATGAAGCGCCATGTCAGCGGCGTCTGGCAAGAAGCTGAACCTGTTTTTATAGTCTAGATTCCTCTAGTCACACAGACTAGACACATTTTCTTCCATAGCTTTTCAATGCCTGATTCAATACCTTATTTTCCTCAGTTGTATCCTACGTTTTCTATTATTTTTCGATTTCTTAGCTATTTCGCCATCTTAACAGTGACAGTATTTGTAATTTAGTGAATCACTCTAATTTTACATACCCTTGACATGACTAGACCTGATATTTTAAAAAGCTAAAATAAGAAATAAGACTTACCCGACATTGGTTTTAAAAAATATTCTATACCTACTTTGTGTTTGTTAATTAGATGTGGTAAAGGTTTAAGTTCAATTTGTGAAACGTTTTTCATACTTCAGTACTTTCTGACATACTAGGATGAAGCCAGCTTTGTACTGGATAATTAAAAAGAAATATTCTGAGGCCTGAATTGTGAATTTTATAAATTCAGGACACCAGTAGGAATGTTTTCCTTCATTAATGAACAGAAAGACTGTTCTCAAAATGTTTAGGACCGGAAGGAAATGCTGTATCACCTGGAAGCCAGGGCCTCTAAGCCCTGTGGTTGACTTCTTTTGTGAGATTATATCTGGCAAAAGGGAATATGGGCAAAGCTGTACTCATCTGAGGAATCAGGTTCCGAGGTTGTAAAGCCATGCGTTCTGCCTTTGCCTGGAATGGATTGTAGAGAGATGGACTTATATGAGGACTATCAGTCCCCGTTTGATTTTGATACAGGAGTGAACAAAAGCTATCTCTACTTGTCTCCTAGTGGAAATTCATCTCCACCCGGCTCACCTGCTCTTCAGAAATTTGGTCTGCTGAGGGCAGATCCAGCCCCTGAGGAAGGAGAAGATGTTGCTGCCACCGTCAGTCCTACAGATACCCCATCAGAAGAAGAGCGAGAAGAGCTGAGACGAGAACCGGCGAAGGTTGAAGAAGAAATTCAGACTCTGTCTCAAGTGTTAGCAGCAAAAGAGAAGCACCTAGCAGAGATCAAGCGGAAACAAGGAATCAGATCACTACAAGAATTAAAACAGAATATTGCCAAAGGATGGCAAGTTGTGACCTCAACACCTGCATTCAAGAAAACATCTGAAGCATTGTCTCAGGCTGGACAGAAGACTTCAGCTGCTTTTTCATCTGTTGGCTCCGCCATCACCAAAAAGCTGAAAGATGTAAAAAATTTTCCAGCCCTCAAATCATTTGAAGAAAAGGTTGAAAACGTAAAGTCCCAAGTGGGGAGAACCAAGCCTGCTGGTGGTGACTTAGGAGAAGTCCTGATTGACTGAAAATGCTAGTGCCACCACCACGGAGCCTCATCCAGAACCAACACAGGAGAGCCTGGGAGATTCCTACCTTTGTTCTGCGTCCCACTGCCAGAGGCTGCAAGCGAGATCCAAGCACATCTCGTCAACATTTGTGAATTTCTACCAGATGGGCTTTTATTTAGCTTTACATACTCTTTTGACCAAATAGTTTGTGGGTTAAACAAAATGAAAATATCTCCACCTCTACTCCTGGGAAACACCCTCTAATGTATATTTAAGGCTCTTTATTTAGGAAACACCATGATAGTGTTGTAGTACCTGGGGACACTGAATAGAATGATCTAAGAAGCTGCAGGTTGTAATAGTCTTCTTTTCCTACTTTTCAAATTGCTATCAATCTGGGAAGTCAGTTTGGTCTTTCTCTTCTATAAGATTTCTTTTTCTCTTTGAAATTGTATGTTTGATTCCTAATTAAAATTGTTCTTTTACATTTTCTGAATCCTAGTTATTAAAAGTCTTGGTACATTTTCTTTACCTCTAAGGGAAGAGCTACCAGCTACAAAAAACATTTTGAAATAAACACTGTTTTGGTATAAGGTGCATATCTTGGGTGTCTGAAGACACTCGAAGAGAATAAATAGTTCTACATCCAGTTTGTTATAGTTGTGTGACTGTATGTACAGTAATCAAACTTACAGGTGATAAGAGTGGACCCCCTCCATCCTTGTTTATCTCCATTTGTAACAGTAACCTTGTCAGTATGTTGGTTATTATGCTACTCATATCAACTTATTTTTTTTACCAGGTTAAAATTCTAATTTGAGTAAATTGACAAAACAACATTTCAAATTAAGCATATTATCAGTAGGCTGAAATATGAGCACTCCTTTCAATTCAAACTAAAGGATTTTTAGACCTAGATTGTTGTAAAAATGTCGAAATCAATCACATTATAGGGAACATAGCTGTCTTCATTTAATCTATTGAGTACCATGTAAGCACGGAAAGTTACACGACTATTCTAACTTGAGCATTTTTTCATACGAAAGAGTTGGTGATAACTCCTGAGAATGTAATGCATTAATAAAAATCAACTCATCATTTTTCTACTTACTTGTTTTCAATGTGTTAGAAACTCTTCTAAAAGGATACTGTAGATACTGCCCCCATTTGAGAACTGAGTGTTGGGGCTGAATGAATCAAAGCCTCTGGATGAATTTGCATAGAGGCCAAGGTACTCGATTAATTCTAATAATTACTTAACCACCACCTTTTCCTTATGCTGTATATGTTTATGCCCTAGAATGTTGTATTTGTTATTTATAAAGATGTGATTGTTTCATTATTTTTTTATGCCAAATGTTAATTGCCAAGCTTAGAGTGAGCTAAAGCATTTTTTAAAAGCATGGCTAGATTTACTTCAGAATAAATTATCTTATGAAAACCAAATTTGAAAAGCCACAAGTGTTGATTGTTATGGAATAACATGTTGCCATTCTTGTTTGCTAGAGCTTCTGTTAGTATTTTGGATGCAATTAAAACTATGCTTTATTATATGTGAAAAGCTTAATAAATTCTGTATATCAGCAGTTTAGGTCTGGAAAAAGCTCGTTATATTAAAGAAACAACCAATGTCTGTACTAAGAAAAAAAAAGACAATTTTTAAACCATCAACTTTAAATCATTGCTTAGTGGTATCAGATTAACATACTCTACATAATTTCCTTTTAGAGGATTTAAGGCAAAGGTTGTCGAAGCATTGTCTCAGTGGAGTGGATCTTCAGAAATTTCTCTTTGTATAGAAATATTGGGCTCGGCGCCTGTGGCTCAAGCGGCTAAGGCGCCAGCCACATACACCTAAGGTGGCGGGTTCAAATCCCCAGCCCAGGCCCACCAAA